GCAGGAAAAAGACTTGAGCAAGATGAAGATCAGATTTAATTTAATAATATGAAAAGAGTTATAAGAGCTCCTTGGCTTCAGGGCAGAGAGCAAGAGCTGAGCAGCTCTGGAAAGTATTCAGATAGGTTTTAAATGAGAAATTTAAATCTCATCATGCAAGAGTCGTGAGTAAGAAAGTTTTAGGTGCAGTCAGCCACTGTCATTTCTGGAAAAGGAAGAGGAAGGGAAAAACAAACGTGTGATGGTTTTTCCTAGGATAATGAGGAGGGCTCCTACAGGGGCAGGTTGTAGTTTGAGAAACCTGCCAGGCTAGTGAGCGAGAAAATAGTGCAAGGAGGACAAGGGGAGAGAAGAAGGCATTACCAGTGAGGTCCAGGGGCAGTGACCTGATGAGTAAAGATTCCTCCCCAGTGGCTCTCCCTGCTTGGAGAGGGCTCCAGTTTCTGAGCAGGCCCTGATTACTAGATACTCAATAGATGTGACATCAGTGGCATCCTTCTTGCTAGATAGGAGAGGTTTTCTTTCCTTGACCTCCTGCCTTGCTGCTTTATTCTCTCCATCTTTTATCCGAGTCCTTGGCCATGAATATCTCCAGAGTCTGCCTTTGCTGCAACTCAATGCTGGAGCAGTGGCTAAGTTAAATAGGATTCCTGGCAGCTTCTCTAGTTATCAAAGGGTTCTCTGTAATGATGGCAAAAATGATCAGGTGTATTAATGATGCTGTACTGGTTCTTAGAAAAAGCTATGGCCAGCCATAGTCATGGATGCTGTCTGTCTGTTAACTCATGGATATAATGCTGGCATGCCTTGATTCAGGAAGATGATGCTATGTGAATTTGCATATGTTTATGTTCAGGATGTTGGGGTTTTTTTGTTTTTGGGTTGTTTTTTTTTTCCAATCAGAAAGACATTTTTAAAGGACTCCATCAACCTGGAATATACTCTCTCTATAAAAAAAATAAGCAGCTGCTACAGTTCCTCCCCCTCTATTTGTCCTGGCATTGCCCCTGCCAGGGGTAGATCCAGGGGGAATGCACTAGTGCAGATGCACCCCTCTCCTTTGATTCCTGCTTTATCCAAACTTTAAAACCAACTGCCTAGGAGCGGTCGCAGCATTTCTATTCAGGCAGCACTGATGGAGTCAGCTGATTTGATGGCTCATTTATCATCTGATTCCTGCTACTCTCTCTCCACTGCACAGGCATTAATGACACTCTAGAAGACTAGATTTTATTCTGTGAATCTGAGTGAGATGTACATTTTCCTATAATGATTACCAAGCTAATGATACAATCTCTTTTGACTATTTTGACTGGTTTTTGCCTAGTTGTGTTTTTTTTTAAACTTTATATATAATCTAGCAAATTCGTACACATTCCAATAGTTATATTTGTTTTTGCTCTGGCCTGAAGCTGAATAATATGGTGCTAGCCCCCTAGCTATTGGTAATCCTTCTAGTTTCTAGTTTTAACTAGAGAAATGTTTGTCTTATGATGATGTGCCACACATTCTGTCCCCCCGCTCCTTTTCAAAATCCTGGATCTGCCCATGACCCCTTCAAAGCCCATTCTTGTCTTCATTCACTGTCACCCAGACTTCTCCACGAAGGGACACGGGGCAAAGAGGGTGCAGGAAACATGCGCATATGTAGTCAGATTCTGGGATTCTGGCAGTGGGACTTTCTATCTGTGGCACAGAAATGTGGGCCTGATTTCTTAACTATCTTTTCTAGTTCCTGACTTGGGTAATGCATGTTCCAACAAGCACCTCAAACAGGTCTTTAAAAATAAGCAGAAGATGTACAGGCAATGAAGAAATAAAACCTATCAGTACTCAAGAAATACAAAAATAATGCGAGACTGGCCAAAGGCTTAGTTCTGCTCAGCTCACAAAGAATATTGAAATCAAATAGCAAAAGCTTCTTTGATCATACAAATGAAAAGTAAGCCAGTTGGAGGCACAATAGGCTAAAGATGGGGTGGACAACCTAAGTATGGCCCAATAACCGAAAGTGTTGAGGACATTGTTGTGGGGGAGCAGTACCACAGTGGAATAAGGACTGGATTATGGAAACCTGAAATGGAAGCAAAACTTTGATTGCTTCTGTCACAAAACTTGGGGGTCCCAGATAATCTTCAGCCTAAAATATTGAAGGAATATAATACAAAATAGCAACTCCTCTTGCACGGATCTTGACTGAATCAATCAACTCAAGGATAGTAGCCTGTAACTGGAAAACGGCAATGTAGTACCTGCTTTTAAAAAAGGGTGAAAGAGTGACCCAGGCAATTACAGGCTTGTTAGCTTGAATTCAGTAGTGTGTAAGGTGTTAGAACAGATGATGCAGGAAAGAATAATCAAAGGTATGGAGGTAAACAGAAGAAAACAGGACAAAGCGCAACATGAGTTCATTCAGGGAAGATTGTGTCAGGCTAATTTAATATCACTGTGACAAGATAACACACTTCTTGGATAAGAGGAATGCAGTGAACTTGATTTATCTAGCTTTAAGAAAGCTTTTGGTGTTGTGCCTGCTGGGTAAATTATTGACCAAACTAGAAATGACAGGATCGTAAGATGCATAAGGGGTTGGTTTAAAAGGGTTATGTTGAAAGGTGAGCTATCTTACCGGAGAGGAGTAGCCAGTGGTGTTCCTAAGGGGTTGATCATAGAACCTACTTTGTTTAATGTTTTTGTCAGCCAACTTGGTTCTGGAGCTAGAAGTATCCCCATGAAATCTGCAGATAACATAAGGCTGGAGCTTGAGTATTGCTAACATGAAAGAGGATCAGATTGCAATAATACAGAAAGAAAATCTTGTGGAATGGAACATTAGAAATGGTATTGATTTTGACGGTATGAAGCACAAAGTCATGCTCTTGGGGACCAGCAGCAAGGACTTTAGTTGTAAAATGGGGTTGCATAGACTGGAGACAATGGAGGAAAAGTGAGACCTGGATGAACTAGGTCAGTTTTAGCATAGGATGGCTATGAGCAGCCAAGGGTGTATTAGGCAGGGTATTGTCAGTAGAAACAAGGAGGTCACTAATACAAAGCCTGGGTAAGACTTCATTCAGAATACTCTGTGCAATTCTGGTCACCGCTGTTCAAGAAAGACGAATAATTTCAAAGAGCCACTAAGATGTTTAAGGGAATGGACACTTTTTCTTGTGCAAAAAACCCCCTCAAGAAGTTTGTTTTAGTTAGCCTTACAAAACAGATGTAGAAAAGGGATATGACCATCCTTTACAAGTACGTAAGTGAAAAATGAACGTTAGCACAGGCTCAAACAGCTATGGGCATATTTACATTGTAAAATATATGATGATTCTTAATTTTCGGAAGAGTGAAGTTTTGGAATGATCTTCTAAGCCAAGTAGCGGGACAAAACCTGAATCACTTTTAAAATTGAACTGGATAAGGTTATGGAAGGGCTGGTATGGCGGGGCTCAACAATTGGTGTGTGCAACATGGAATCAGATGCACATGTTGGGGTATAGAGGTATCTTGTCTTGCAGCGTAGTAAGTGTCTGCCAGTTCCTTGTTTCTGTGCTTTTGCTGGTGGCCTATAGGAGCCAAGAAGGATTTTTCCCCCTCATAATTGCTGCTGACAGTTTGTTTTGTTTTGGTTTTTCCTCTGAAGCACTGGTACATTTGCCATGGAGATTTTGTTGTTTGGGGCACACTGATGTTCTTATCAGTACTTTAAACAGAGAATTTCCTGGGTAGAGAGTCTCACCAATTGGGTATCACAATTACCAAATTTGGGGGCAGGAAGGAACTTTACCCATAAGTCAGATTAGTATGGACTTTGGAGGAGGGAGGATTGCCTTCTTCTCTAGGTCATGGTCCTTTTTCTAAGTTCTTCTGAACATATATTGAGCAGTTACTCCCCTGTAATTGCAGTGGCAGGGCCCTCATCTCCCCTGCTTTTAGTAATGGTGCATTGTAAGACAGTATTGTTGTTCAAGTGCTGTGCCTTGTAGCTGTGTAAGGGGTTGGAAGTGGTGATTTTGGGGATGTCTTGGGTAAACAGTTGCCCTCTAATGCAGGGGACAGGACTTGATGGTCCAAGAGACCATCAAGCCTGCTCCTTGTGGCTGGCTGATTTTTTGGAAATGGAGAAGAGAGGAAGAACTCTTCTTTTTCTGTGGGGCACATGGGCGTTATCTATACCTCACTACTGGTAACAGGCTCAGCCTTTACCCAGTAGTTTTAGTACCAGTTGCCTGATTTCATGCATCTCAGAAGCGAACATTTGGCAAATCTGCAGTTGTACTACTACCCCCAAAAGAGCCTTTCTCTGCTAAATTCCTTTGTTTTGCTTAAGGGGGTCATTAAAATGTGAAAGGATTTAGACAAGGGAGAGAGAAATTTGGTTTTCTGACTTTTTTTATGAGAAAAGATTAAAGGTGTTCCACCTGTCTAGTTTGGCCAGCGACTACGGGGCAAAAGGCCCTACTAGGGACTTGCCAGGCTTTGAAGGATGTCGACATCAAGGAGAAAGGAGGAATTGTTATGGGTAGACCAAGGGTACCTGGCTAGGAGTAAAGTGAAATGAAGAGGAGGAATGTTTAGGCTGCATGAGATGAACACCTTGACTGTAAATGGGATCTATTAATCTGTGCACTGATTACATTAGAGATGTGATGAAAGGCCCTGTGTCATAGCTTGGGGTATGCAGCGGTACTCTAACAAAGCACTAGAAAATATACTGTCAGGAACAATCTGTGTTGGCCCAGGGCTCTAGGGAGAGGAGCCGTTCTGTGGACTAGATGTGGCCTAATAGGGCTTTCCAGCTCCTGATGTTTATGATTCATTATAACTGTAAATATAAACCCTCTCCCCAGTGCTGCTCTAAAGAATCCAGCTCTTACTTCCTCCCTTGGCGCAGAGGTTTCATGTCATTAACACTTGAGGTTCATTTCCCTCCCCCCATTCTTTTTATTGCAGTTATTCCAGATTCCCTCCGGGTGACCTCGCTTCCACAGACATTAAACAAAGTGGAGCGTGACTCGCTGGAGCTGAAATGCGAGGTGTTCAAGAGCACGGCCCAGCACAGCCACCTCTCCATCTCCTGGTACCGACAGAAAGCAGGCGAGCCTCCTGTGGAAGTGATCTCCCTTAGTCGCGACTTCGTCCTGCGGGCAGGCAGCACCTACTCGCAAAGGCAGGCTACCGGTGACATCCGTCTAGACAAAGTAGGAGAGACGACATCCAAGCTCACGGTCTACAACCTCCAGCCATCAGACCAAGGCGAGTTCTACTGTGAGGCAGCCGAATGGATCCAGGATCCTGACGAGTCCTGGTACGCCATGACCCGCAAGCGATCGGAGGGCACCATCATCCATGTCCAGGCCACCGGTCAGTATCTCTGAGGTTTTTTGCTTTTTGGACAGGTGGCTGGGAGGGGCTGAAGGTATTAGATGGGGAAACACTTGCAAGAGATGCCAGCAAGTGACCAGTCTGTCTGCCTGTGTATACAATAGTCTCCTGAGGACAGTCATGGAAGTCTTGCTACCAATGTCACTCTTTAGTACTAGACTGGAGGAAGCCATGAAGGATCCTGGGACTTGGCTGCTCTCTTTTAGTGCTCATTGGTTAGGACAGCCTCAGAGGTTTCTAGCTTGGTGGAACCGCAGGCAGCCACGCTATAGACAGGCATCTCCAAATGAAGTGCATCAAGTGTGCTGGGATGTGTCTTAGCACAGCTGAACCTCTTCATTGGGCAAAATGAATGTCACCCATAGTCCCGGCGTGACAAACGGCAGGGATGTCTGTTTGCTTTTGCTTTGTTCTGCCGTAAAGATTTGTATAGCAGCACAAAGGTGACATATGTTTGCAGGCTATAAGTGGCCTCCAAAATGATCTTCTTTGCTCATGGGAAGGACAGGTTAGATGTAATATAATGGATCTCCTTTAACGCTGTGGGCATGGGCACATGGACAAGTTACCATGAAATAAAGTATTTACAGCACACCAACTGTTCTGCTGTAACTGCCCATACTCATGGTCATCTGCTGTACTAAATGAGAGCTAATCTGAGGTAGTTTGCCACCTCCTGGCCCTCTACTGACCATGTAGATTAGCTCTCATTTACTGTAGGGAAAAGGTGCACACACAGGCAGTGTATGGTTAGTTGACAGGCTGTAAATCCCTGCCTTTGCTTAGTTCATGGTACCTTGTTAGTGTGCCCACCATTTCATGTTGCAGGTGGCATGCGTCTATGGGTTGTCTTGAGGAACTGCCCTCACCCACAGGAGTGCATTTATCTCACCAGTCAGACTTTGGCTTTGCATTAACAGTCCCTTCTACCATTTGTAGCGTTGCCTCCTTTATATTTCTTTCTGGTACTTCTATGCCTTGAACTAGAGAAAGTGCCTTGAACTGTATGTATGTGCCCCATGGTGAGGCACCATACCCTGCATATGGTCTTCTAGAGTCTGTTTGTTGCATAATGCCAGGGTCTACATGTAGTGAACTAGGAACCAAAGTGTGCTTCAGGAACCAAAGATTCTTTAAGCTGACATTGAGCTCTGCACTGTAAAGGCTGTGACACACTTTTTTCTGATGGAAAGGCTGACATGATTCCTATGCCCTCCCCAGAAAAGGGCGCAGGGTGGCTTACAATAACACAAGATAGTAATTCAATCAGATAAAATACTGAAATCAAATAGTTCCTGATAAAACAGTTCTCTAAACAATAGCCCAAACTTAACCCCACCACTACAAGCCTGATAAAACAAGTAGGCCTTTCAGTGCCTCTGGAAGATGCCGAGGCTCAGGCTCTGATGGACCTCAAAGAAGAGGAAGCTCCAAAGCTGAGAAACAACGATTAAGAATGACCTCCCATATATTTTTGCTAAATGCCCTTGGTTCACAAATGGTACTTGCAAGAGAATGCTCTCATACAACCTTGGGGATTATAGTCAAATGTAATGGAGATGGTAGTCCCTTAAATAGGGTCTGAGTCATTTACTATACATGTACTACAGGCCTAGAAAAATTAGAAGTTAATAGTAACCATGGGGAACTCTTGTTTGTGAAGGAGTATGGTTGAGGGCTGCTCTTCCCTTTCTCCTGAAATGGCTGATTTGCCAGAAAACTAAGCCTGAGATTTAGCAGATATCTTAAGCACACATTTCAGGACCTGCACCTAACAACTGTATCTTCAGAAAAGGCAGTGAGACTGAATGACGCTGAAAGAATAAATTTGCCAAATTCGACAAAGATTTTTATATTGCATGTGAACCATTTGCAAGTCAGATTTTTTCTATGTGGTAGTCTAGGATCTGAAAACATCAATGGACTCTTTCTATCTGGTTTTATCAGCAGACCCTGATTTGAAACTGAGCAGACAAAGCTGCTGAAGCATGGAGCACAATAGACTCCTCCAAGTCAGTGTCCCATAACCCTACTGGATCCTCAGTTTAAAATGCCTATACTGACTTTGAGCTAGGGAGAGTGACTATGGGCTTGTTGCTCACCATCTCACCATATGTGAGCGAGAGACACAAAAGTGCCAGATACTCTGAGTAAGAATGGGAGGCAGCAGTGCCTACTGAATTAAAATAAGAGTAATTCCCACTTCCAACAATGTCATAAAGACGAGCTGGCATCTGTACAGTTTCACATGAGGGGTAAGTGGTGTTGGATTATTTTTCAGAGTCACTCTTCTGACCATAGCAGTGTTGTGATGACATGGGTGTGTACGGGTCCTTGTCTCCCCAGATAAAGAGTTCAGTGTCCGACTGGAGACGGAGAAGCGGACGTACACAGTGGGTGAGCCAGTGGAGTTCAGGTGCATCCTGGAAGCACAGAACGTTCCCGAGCGCTACTTCTCCATCTCCTGGGCCTTTAACAGCTCTCTGATTGCCAGCCTTGGGCCCAATGCTGTGCCTGTGCTCAACAATGACTTTGCCCAGCGTGAGGCCCTGGGGCAGCTCAAGGTGGCCAAGGAGAGTGACAGTGTCTTTGTTCTGAAGATCTACCGTCTCCGCCTGGAGGACAGTGGCAAATACAACTGCCGGGTGACTGAGCGGGAAAAAACCGTGACTGGGGACTTCATCGATAAGGAGAGCAAGAGACCTAAGAACACACCCATCCTGGTCCTGCCCCTCAGTAAGTAGAGAAAGGGCATCTGTGGGGTGCTGAGTTGTGCTCAACCAAAGCTGGATTTTAGCAGGAGGAAGCACTAATCCCTGCTTGGAAAATTATGAGAGTTAAAAGCCCAGCAGGGAAAACTTTTGTTGGGGAAGAGCCATAGTTCCTGGGCTGGAAAAAATGGTCCTAACCTTGGTAATGTGTCTGGTTGATACCAGGGATAGAGCTTGGGATTTTTGCTAAGGCAGGGCCAGTGGGAAGTTGGCATTATTCCTGCCTGACTTTCTTCACTTTCTGTTGCAGGGAGCTAGGGGCTCTAAATTGCTAATCCTCCTTGCAAAACTTTAACAGGGAGTGCTGCTAGCCTGACAGTGGTTGCTGGCTCATCCTGGAAGCAGCCTGCATGTTGAAATGTTTCAGTGGCTGCTCAGGCACTGCTGTCTGGCAGCTCTTGCAGAGTTATCCCAGAAGCTCTTTCTTAATCAGAGAGGTTGTTCTCCAGGCTTCAAAGAACCAGTGATTGCATTTTCCCATGCCAAGATTCATGCATCAGCATAGGGACCTAACTCAAACCTTGGGTGTTTCACTCAGCCAGAGCTGGTGAGAATGTTCTTGTCTGCCCCCTATTTGCATGCCTTTCAAGTTTCTCAGAGGGGATATGGTACATGCAGAAACAACAGGGTGAGATGAGGCGGACCTTTTGATTCATTCGTTCTTTTTTGTCTCGCTGTTTCTCTCTAAACCAAGTAACCTAGCCATAACAAGGTACACAAGTATGGTTCAAGTTAGCCTAACAATAAGTATTGACCAAACAAAGGAATATCTGAGAGAGGATTTTGTGTAATATTGTCCTTCTGTTTGTTAACTTCGCAGTGAAATACGGTCTGTTGCAAAGCCGTTTCTCCCCTTTCCCCTGAAGTAAAGGGACAGATGTAATTCTTCAGTTGTTTAGTGTAGTCTCTCATTCATTTGGGATTAAAAATTACATTAGCCAGAAGCCCTGCACTGGATGGCTGCCTTAAAAGGCAGCACTTCTCGACCAAAGAACTATGACACATAGCATATGTTGAGATCTCATAAACCTCTAGCTTTAGAAACCGCAGAATGTGACTTCTTTAAAACAAAAGTTGCTGAGATTCCACAATCCTCATGGAAAACAGAGGGGTTACCAGTGCTCAGCACCTCTGAAAATTAAGCCTTTAAAACTTTGTCTCTGGAAAGTTCAAAATCCTAGTTTTCTGCTGATATAAATCACTGGTAGTTAACACTAGTATTATTAGTAGTAACAGAGGCTTGTGAGATCTGTTGGAAATGGGAAAATGGTAATCAGGATTATGTGACTGAAAGTCTATTGGGTTGGAAGTTTTTTGGCAGAACCAGTTGTTATCAGCTTTATACATCACCAGTAGCAACACACCTACTTTCAGAACCATTTGTTTTCTGAGATATTATCCTGGACCTGTGACCATAAAATGTTTTGGCTTTTCACGAACAGTGGCAGGACAGATTTTCAGTCTTACTTGTGCACACAAGACCCCAGTGGCAACACGCTAGCCACGGACCCACTTTGCATTTTGCATACATAAGTTATATGTGCACCTATCCAACGTGTGTGCAGTTTTCTGCACCTGACCTTGGAAAAAGTCTCTGTCCACCTTGTATACTGAAAAGTGGCAAATCTTGTCATCGCCTGTGTGCATACACATTTCTCTCCTGTCTCCCTAGAGACCAGCATCTCTGTGGAGGTGACCAGCAACACCAGCAATGTCCTGGAGGGGGAGAGCCTGCGCTTTGGCTGCAACGTGCGCTCAGGATTTGGGGCCCAAAGTCGCCTCTCAGTCACTTGGCAACTCGTGGACAAACAGAACCGGCGCAGTGAAATTGTGCGACTGGACCGGGATGGCACACTGCAACCAGGCCCCTCTTACACAGAGCGCAGCAGCTTTGGGGGTATCCAGATGGAGCAGGTGCGGCCTGGATCCTTCACTCTGGAGATCTTCAACAGTGTGAAGGCAGATGAAGGCCACTATGAGTGCCGTGTGACTGAGTGGACGCGGATGCTGGACGGGGAGTGGCAGATGGTGGGGGAACGGCACACGAGCATGCCTGTATCCATCACTGCTCTGGGTGAGTAACGTAGGTGCTGTGGCATCTGTGCAATGTGGCCCGGCATCTCCTTCCAGCTCTCTAGGGGATTCATTTAGGAGGCCTAGTCCAGCTAGTGGAAAGGAGTCTCAGACCCTTCTGCCTATTCTGTGGAGCTCTGGAAATAGTCACTAGAGTATTGATTCTCAGTTGATTCTCAGGGTGCTGGGGGCACCTTGGGGCTCTGAGATCTTGGAAGGGTGCCAGGAGGTGTGAGGAGATTAGTGCAGGCTCAGGCTTGTCTCTTCCTGGCCACTGCCCTCTGAAAGGAGGTAAGCACTGTAATAAATAAATTAGTTTTTTAAATGGGGTTCCAGTCAGTTCACAGAAGTTTATGGAGGTCTGCCTTGAGACAAACAAGGGGTGCCTTGGGTCTAAAAAGGTTGATAACCACGGAGCTAGAGTAGAAGGCAGTGATCCCAATATGCTTGTAATAGGTGCATCCTCCTTACCATGCCAGTAGGCATTGCAGTGGTAGCTTTGCTGGAGGAATGCAGCCTCTCATTCAGACTGGTGTCAGGAAAAGGGGGTGGGTAGTAGGATTGTTAACTCTTCTCCTGTGGCACCTTAGGCCTCATGGCATCTCCGTAGACCAGATGAATACTGTTTCCACTCTCCAGGTGGGGTAAGTGAATCAGAGGGAGGCTGAGGATCGGACTCTCAGAAATTCGGAGAGCCTGCAACTCTAGCAGAAGTCCACAGGGGCTGCAGGCTGGACATAAGCAACTAGCCAGAGGCCACGCAGGGAGACTGTTATTTGCACTGGCATTATACCCATGAGCCCTGGCTGCTGGTGCCCTATTCTAACAGTGAAGAGGGTCCCTCTCTTTTAAATACAGTAAACTACATTAGTTTAGAGGAAGGCATTTGGAGAACTGCGTAAGTTGCAAATTAGACTCAACTAGCCCCAGTTTTGCTATATTAAGTCCTGGACCAGTGCCCAAATGCTTTGGATGACTGAAGAACCAGTCACTGTTCTTGAAAGCCTGATAATTTTGCAAAATGCCAGAGCTATAAACAATTGGTATGTGCTGCTGGAAAGCTGAGGTAAATTTTCAGCTTTCCACTGCTTACACAGTATTTATCATGAGTTCTGGCAACATGTGAGAGATCAGATTTTAAAATTGTATCATATCCTGATTAGCATTTTGCTTCCTCCGCCTCCTTCCCTTCAATTCTGACCTGATTTTAGAGGGTAGTTTGTCTTGAGCTGGAAATCATTGCTTTCTGCCATCTAAAAGTAGGTAGGAATCCTAAATTACCAAGAATTAAAGCCAGATTCTAAGCGGGTGTAAATCAGAAAGGCCCCTCTGTTTGTGGAATTTCATATAGTATAAATCAGCCTAGCTCCGTCGTTTAATCTGTATCTTTTGTAGCTTTGTGAGACAGGCAGCTAAATTCATTTCAAAATTGAAGGTTGGGGCATGGAATGGAAGCAAGGGCGGTTCTTGGAGTGGCTAGCTTCTAAATGGTCTCATTCATTCTTTCTTGTTGGCAGTTATCTGGGTGAAACTTCCCAGTAGTTCCAGAAAATATAACTAAAACATACCCATCCTTCCACCACAGTTTGCTGTCCCAGCAATGTCTCAGCAATTCCCGAGGGTACAAACAGTTTGCATTTATAACTAAGAGGAGCTACAGAGCTCAATCAAATTTAGTGGAGAAAACTTCAGACCTTCTGTGCAAAGCTTGATATTTTTTTTTTTCAACTTGATGTTTTTAAAGTGTTTTGAGATGCTAAAAGGAAGGTGCTAAAAAAGGGGCAGGAACTCATTGCTGTGGAAAACGCTGCAGAAAATACTGCAGTCAGTTTGATGAAATCCACATTCTTATCTGCACAAATTAAGGTCTAATCACTTGTGACCTGCCAGGGTCACAAACATTTTAGCTAAACTGGTACAAATTATTTCAGGACCCATAACCCTTTCAAAGTGCTGGTTCCATAAGCAATCAAAAATCAGAGGCCATATCTGATGCCAGAGATATCAGAAGCTTTTTTGTATGCAAAAAAATGGTGGTCTGAGGTATGATCTGAGGTAGTCATGGAGTTCACTTGGGAAATGACTATCTTGTGATGTGTATGTTGATAGAACAGAGTGCAGAGCACTTCTGGAGTCAGACTAGTAAATCATCTCCTGGCCAGGATC